AAATAAATGTATTTGTGTGTGTTTCTTGTTGTGGTGTGTATTCAATTTATATAACAAATGATGTGGCTTTCAAGAAGAAAAGAAAGCACTGTGTAAGAAAACTATTTGCAGTTTCTGTCCTTTTGTTTCTTGTTTCCTCTTGCAAATGGAAAGGGCATAAAAGATTAGAAATATATCTCTTACTAAAACTTTTTTTTTATTTTTAAAATCTTGGTTTTGCAGTGCAAGAAGGCAGCGCTAACTCATACACACAAGAACAAATTGATGAAATTCGGATCGAATGGGCAGCATGTATGAGCAATCACATGTAGCTCTTCTATTTCTAATTATAGTTTAATGCTATGGATATGTTATTTTGTATGGATATGGTAGGAATCAAGATTGATAAACTATGTAATTACTATTGAATCTTTAAGTTTTATGAAAGAAACAATTTTTGAGTATATATATGTATGGTGTGGGTAATATCATATTTGGACCTGAATTTATTGTTCACAAAGCATTATGATTTTTTTCAGTTAAAATCCTTGTAGAGAACCATTGGAAACAAATAAAAATAAATAAAAAGAAGCCAAAATGTTAATTCACTACGTCCAATTTTACAATTGATAGATGGCAATTTTTTAAACAATACCGTCGTCTTTAGCATTAATAGACGACGATTTTTTTTACAAACTGTCATTTTTAATGTTAATAGACGACAGTTTTCAGAAAAAGTGTCGTCTATTACATTAAATAGACGACGGTTTTTCAGAAAAAGTGTCGTCTTTACATTCAATAGACGACGGTTTTTTCAGAAAAAGTGTCGTCTTTAAATGTAATAGATGACGGTTCTTTTAAAAACCGTCGTTTTTACATATAATAGACGACGGTGAATTACCGTCGTAGTTTGACTTTCAAAAAGATGACGGTCGATTTAACGACGGTTTGAAAAAGAAAAAGACGACGGTGTTTCCCCGTCGTCTATTTCAATTTTTGTAGTAGTGAGAGTTCTAAGGGGGTTTCTTTGTAAACCAAAGTTGTAACTTATTCTTTCATTAGTGAATTTCTCAAGGGGATCACCAAGAGGATGTAGGCAATTGCTGAACCTCTAAAATACTTGTGTCACTTTGTGCTTGGTTGGTTTCTCAAGTGTGTGTGTGTGATTCATTCATCCTTGTGTGTGTCACAAAGTCCATCAACAACAAGATCATTAGGGGAGTGAGTGAAAGTGTTTGTCCATTTTCACAACAGATATTTGGTATTAAACAAGAGGACCCTCTAAAGCATGTGCCTAGCCCAAACTCTGCTAAAAATCCTCAACAGTTTGAGCTGGTGCTTACCCCCTTGTTGGGTATTTTAAGGGACAGAGCTGCGTCAGGGGATTCTCTTAAAAAATTTGCAGCAGGGCATGCAACTGTCCCTGGAGGTGAAACAATATACGCACTAGCTCAGTGCACTCCAGACATAGACAAGCAAAATTGTAGCAATTGCCTTAAAGAGTCCGTCTCAGAAATTCAAACCTGTTGCGGTGGAAAGCAAGGAGGAAGAGTTCTTAAACCCAGCTGCAATTTAAGGTATGAGGTTAGTCTTTTCTTTAGGTCTACAACCGATTCGTTAGTAGATATTCCAGCTCCAGTTCCGGCAGCACCAGCACCTAAAGAAGGTATGTATGCTTATTATGGTTACCCTGCAAATCTTCAATTTGATCCTTGTCTTACAATTGTGTGGTGTGGCTTTGGCTTTTGATAAGATATCCCATCTGATTTTCAGCAAAAAAGAAGAGTAACATAAAACAAACTGTCATCATCATCGTTGTGGTTTTGGTTGTTTTTGTCACTATTTTCAGCAGCATATGCTTTTTCTTCAGAGTAAAGAAACGAAGGGTAAAACTTGAACAAGGTAAGTTCAACTCTGTTTATTTATCTTATCCGAGGTTTTGGAACTCTGTTTGCTAATTCATTTTTCCCCTTTTCAGATGAGAATTCGGAAGACGTTGGTCTGGTGGAATGGTTGCAATATGATTTTGAAACTATAAGATCTGCAACAGATGACTTCTCTAATGCAAATAAGCTTGGACGAGGTGGGTTTGGAGCTGTTTACAGAAACTGAGGCTTCTATTACTGAGCTTTACGCTCGCTAGCTAATATGTTATGATCACTTACAATTGAGTTATTAATTATAGATAATGTGTCATAATAGAATGTACAGTAAGTTATCGATACATTGTGAATATAATATCCTTACAAAATCCGTCCACCGATATATTGTGGATAATATCTATAAATAAAAATTCATAAATTATAAAATTTATGTATGAACTTGGATCCTATCCCTGCCTTATGTGTCAAGGTTTTATGTATCTCCTTGTTTAGTTATTTGTCGCTGTATCAAAACTCATGATTTTGGTGATCCCCTCCATGTTTGAAGACTTGTCTTTCGTTGATTTAAACATTTCTCAGTGAACAATTTTGTTCTCTCTGACAAATTTTTGCCGGGATAAACCTTGCAGGAGAATTTTGTTCTTTTCTGAAAAAAATTGCCGAGATAGACCTTTCCCGTTGAATTTTGTAATTTTTCGACAATTAGTCATCAAGATAGACATCTCCTGGTGAATGTCGTCTCCCACCAAATTTCCGTGGGGAAGGGTTCTTCTTTCCCTGCAAAATTACGACGGGGTGAATTTTGTTCCCTCCCGACAAATTTTGTCTGATATAAACCTTTCCCGGCGAATTAATTTTTTTGCCGACAAATTTTAGTAGAGATGGATCTTTCCCGGCGAAAATTGTTCCTTCCGGACAAACTTTCACCTAGATAGACCTTTCTCGATGAAGATGTTCTCCCAACAAATTTTCGCCATGTAAACCTTTCAAGGCGAATTGTGTTTCTTGCTGACAAATTTTGTTCGGCATATATTTTTCTTGGCGAATTTTGTTCTTTCCCGCCAACTAATGCTTCCGAATAGAAGATAGACCTTTCCCGACAATGTTCCTGCAAATTATGTCTTTCCCGACAACTGTGTGTTAGGATCGGATAGTGCTAGAATAGAAATCGCCACAACTCAAATAACAGTATAAGCAGAAAAATAAAGAACACCGGGAATTAACGTGGTTCGGCAATGCCTACGTCCACGGGGCAGCAATATAAATTTCTTCCACTATAACAAAATAATGGGTACAATAAGAAAGGTCTTACCAAGCCAATGCCCAGGGCTTGATGATACACACAGAGAAAGTACAATGACACCACACTATACTCTCCTGTTTTTACCTCACTCACACACTTGGAGTGGTACACAATTAACTCTCTCACTCTCACAGAATTGGAGTGGAATACTGATGGCTGTTTGGATGGTGTTCTCTCACTTCTCTCTCTTGCTCTCGGCTTCTCCAACTCTCTCTGACTCTTCAACACAACACACACACCACTTTCTTCCGCATGCACACTTGCATGTCCTTTTATATTTGAGAAAGGAAAAGTTTGGAAGCTTTTAGATTTTTCTTCCAACGGATGGCAGCATCATTTGCTTGAGACACCATCATTGGCTAAAGACACCATCATTAGCTAAAGACATCATCATATCATGTTGGCTTCATCATTGTGTTGGTTTCTCTTTTGACCACCGAAAGAATGTTTTTCCATCATGGGCTGGACCCATGGTATTATGCCAACACTTA